GTTGTTAATATTCCATTTTGTTTCTTAGATAATACACGTCATTTTTATTTTTGATTTATTTTGTATTAAGAACTATACTGCACACGTAATTTATTTTGTCTTACTTATTTATATTTTTATTTTATATACTTTTTGTTTGAATGTTTAAGTGCTCTAATGACACGCTTTGAAGCAAAAGATTTGACAGTATGTGACAAAGTTGCTAGTACTTGGCTTGCAAATGCATCATGGCGTAAACAACATAATGGCAGTGTGTAGAAGAGAACTGATATCTACAATCAATGCCTAACGATGAAGAAAAGGCAATCAAAAGTCCGGTTTTAGGTCGACTATAGAGAATTTTCTTAGGCTGTGCTCAACGCAAAATTGTTATCAACGCTGCAAATGTATTATATACGTAGGTCCTTGGCATAGCCGTAAAATTCTCTCTAAATGTCCGCTGCTAGTCAAGTGCTCGGTTTATTTTTTGGACAACTATAAGTACAACGCACGTAAGCATTGTGAAACTGAAAAAGAATATAAACGACTGTAAACAATAAATTTATTAAATTTGCAAAAAATTTCTTTATAAATGAAAGCAATTATTAAATAATTTCAAATTAGTGACACTAGCCACACCGTTATATATAGATCAACTTGACTATCAGCATCGCATAGTGACGTACATTAATAATGACATTTCAGAGAATTTTTTTGTATTGGAAGAATAGCTATAGTGCCAGGGACTTGAGTTTACGTAAAGTAACGTGAATTATAACTGATACTGCGCTGGCTGGCAGTAATTTTGAAATACAGTTTTATATAAATTGCTGATCATTACTGGTGACAAAAAGTTTAAAGTTTTTGTTTATTTTGTTACTATAGTACAAAAATGTCTGTTCTGTTATAATAATAATATTTTATTCTAAATAATTAGTAATATTTTGAATTAATAGTAACATTTTGAGTAATTATATTAGTAGTAATTATTAGAGTTTACATTGGAAAGAAAAAGATATACAGCCAATTTAACCATAAAAAACGGATTCTTTTTTCAAGTTACTTGTAACTGTTTTGCATTTTTTGGCTGATTTTTGCTTATTATTTAATTCTTTTTATTTCTTGCTACGAAACTAGGCTACAGGCCTGTCCTAAGTCATATAATGCTGCTGTGATTTAAATGCAATTTTATTTAAGAGAAATATTTTAAATATAGTTTTAAATATGAGTGCATAACTTATAATTGTTAGTATTTATGCACTTATTATACATTAACGAGAAAAATTTTCTTATATATGTTACACATAAGTAACATATATGTACTTATATTACATATAGGTACATATTGTAAGTAATTATAAGTAAGTTAATGAAATATTTGAAGATTATTTTTAAGACAAACATCTTACATCTGATTTTAAATTTTAATTGTCTTTTTAACTGGATTAGATTTCTTTGTAATTATGTCTAAATTAAATTTTCTACAATGACATTTTGATTAATAAGTTACTTTATAATTTGTTAAAATTCTTTTATATAAGTATACATATAAGTACATATTGTAAGTATAAGTAATTATAAGTATAAGTTAACGAAATATTTATCAAGATTATTTTTGAGGCAAACATCTTATATACAACATCTAATTTTAGATTTTAGCTAGTTTTATTTCTAACTAGATTGGATTTCTTTGTAATCATAAAATGTTCTCGCTGTTTCTAATAAAATTTTCTACAGTGAATTTCTTAATAAATGATTTTAAAAATTGTTAAAATGTTTTTATATAATTTTTATTAATCTTTAATTTTTTGTTGGAAACATTTGCAAACATTTATTTTAACTTTTTCTTGCTTAGATTTTAATTTATAAAAATATACAGAGTATTTGCATTCAAAACTTGCACATCATACATTTTCTAAAGATCATTTTAAGACGAAAATTCTAATGCTCAATTCTTAAGGGTATATAATAATTTTTATATAAAAAGCATTTACAGTTGGTTAATGAGATTGCCTAAGTTCACGCGCTTAGACCAGCTTTAAATTTTTTTTATTTAAAAATTATTATAATATATATATATTTTTTTTATGTATTTTGGCATTCAAATTTTTTCTTAAAATGATTTCAAAAACGGCTGATGTGCGAGTTCTGGGTCATCCCATATAATAAAATTTATATTAAAAATCTAGTAAAATAATCAAAAATACATCATTATTAACGAAATATGGATATCAATAAAAGATCGAAATTATGCCCACCAGTTGATCGAATTGATGTAAAAATCGATTGCAGATTGATTTAGTCAATTTGACATCAAATCGATAACTTTTTGATAATTTATTCCTCACTGGGTAGCGACATAAAGTTATTTTATAAATTTTTATCTATTTTATATAAAATTTTTCATAAAAATTTCATATAAAATTTTATTTATAATTTATACTCGCATATTGCACTTTACATAGATACTTTTAATTACATATTTTGTACTTTTAAATAGGTAATGAACGGATTATTTTCGTTTATTTGCCGGACATTTACTTGTCCGATTTATAAAATTAGTTTAATATCTGAAACTCTTGCATTGAAATCAGAAATTAAATTGAAATATATATTTTTAATCTTATTTGTTACTCTTTGCAAACGTTATATAATTCTCATAACTAAAACTTAAATACGAGAAAGCGCAGCGCACGTCCCATAGCGGTAAACAAACGAATTAACACATACTTGCGTGCTCGCGCGAAACTTTGACGTCCAAGATCGAACATTTTGTGGACGTCCAAATATTAGCCGTTAACGGATGTGCCGAATCGGATGTACGATGAACAGTCATTTCATGTTCATGGACATGTGGACGTAAAATGGACATAAAATGAATGTCCATAGAATGTCCCGTGCTGTATGGGCACAGACAGCACACAGATATCCATAAAATATTCTACAAATATCCTTCAAGGATATTGAAAATATCCATAAAATGTCCGTTTTATGTTCCTCAAATATATAGTGGATATCCATATTCAAATATGAAATTGGTGGACATAATTTAATCCCTGACGTGTCCAAAAGATATTTGGACGTCTAATGGACATAATTAGCAATAACAGATATACAAAACGAACTTTATATGGACGTAATAAGGAGATGAAAAAGGGATTACATACAAAATTTGAATTTACATATTAAAAAGATGAAATATATATTTTTAAACAATACATTTATTAAAGGAAATTTATATCACATATACATTAATGCAATATCATATATTATATAAATGTTACTTTTATTACAAAACGATTATAAAACAGATAATTAAAAAAAATGTGTATTATATGTGTGAAAAAAGAACAACCTTTATGATCTAAACATATCATATTTTTTAAATGAAACATATATATTTCAATTCCTAAATAATAATATAATTTATCTATTTCATACAAAATTTTACATAAAAATTTTATATAAAAATTTTATTTATAATTTATACTTGCATATTGTACTTTACATCTTAAATAGATAATGAAAAATTATTTTCGTTTATTCGCCGAACATTTACTTGTCCGACTTATAAAATCAATTTAATATCCGAAAGCCGTGCTTTTAAATCAGAAATTAAATTGAACAATATATACATTTTTAATCTTATTTGTTAGCTTTTACAAACTTTATATAATTCTCATAACTGAAACTTAAATACAAGAAAGATAGCGCATCGCACGTCGCGTAGCGGTAAACGAACGAACTAATACATGCTTGCCTGCTCGCGAGAAACTTTGGGTGGGTTCAGAAAACACCACAGTTGTGCAATCGTTGAGTGAACACTCACTACATATGATCAATATGATACATCGCAACATGTTCAGACGCCATATTTGTGAGCGGATTTGAAGTACGCTCACAAATAAACACAACGTGTTGTAAAACTAATAATTTTAAAGAGTTTTGTATCACATAACCTGAAAAGACAAGTTGGAGATACGGATCACTATCCAGTGATACGGGAAAAGAAAATAGTTTTGTGTTCCGTCACAATGCATTAAATATTTTATATGTTTTTTTGAATAATTAAATCTTCATCATCTAATAACGCTAGGATTATTAAATTTATCATATTTATAATATTAATTCATAATATTAATATTAATTGACATGATAACACCTTAAAAGAGATAAATTATTACAAATGGACATAAAATGAACGTCCATAGAATGTCTTGTGCTGTCTGGATATTTACAGTATGAATATAGAATATTCGAATGATATCATGTGCTGTGTGGATAGTGAATCAATTTAAAAATTGTATTGAAGATTTTAAACATATGTAAGAACATTCTGTACAATTTTCATTAAATTCTCAATATTTTGAAAATAGGTACGAAACATCCTTAAGGAGAGACACCGTTCTACGTCGCGATTAAATCCCCAAATACTCTCTAACAATCATTATCAACAGAGTTGGGTAAGTTTATATTTTTTTTAAACTAAATTAAGTTAAAGTTAATGGATTAAAAAATTAATTTAATTATGTTAAAAGTTATACCAATAAAAAATTAACTCAATAAAAGTTACGTTAAGATTAAATTAACGTTAGTTAAGATAAAAGTTAAAATTTTGAAAAGCATTATTTCACTTTATATTAAATTAGATTGTAATTTTAAAATTAGATTACTCTAAATAATAATAATATGAATTATCAAATAAATTTTGGGGGGAAAGTTAATAAGTTTCAATTAATAAGTTTAAGTTTATGTGTTTTAAAAATAACTAGTTAAAGTTAAAAGTTAATTCTTTTTAAAATAACTAAGTTGAGTTAAAAATTATTAACTTTTTAACTTGTTTTTTAACTTTTAACTAATCAACTAGTTATTACCCAACCGTGATTATCAACAATCATTATTCTTCGCAACCAGCATCGCGTGCGAATTCGCAGCGATTCGAACACCCGCCATACTTTTTCGAGCGTATGCGCGAAATCACGGCGCACCTCGACGTTCGTCTCGAAGTGACAGCACCCGACGAAAACCGTCGCGTTTTCCGGTGCGATAGGATAATCCGCGAGGGGGGAGCTCAAGCGAAAGAAGTAACCCGTCGACCCCGTCGACGGGGGGGGGGATATTCGTCTCGTTCTCGTGAGAGAAGGAAAAAAAAGGAGAAGAGAAGAAGATTTCGAGAACGGGTCCCGCGGATCCCGCGACATGTAAATAAGGGTTGTTGTCGTCTGTCATCGGCGGGTCTGGGTTCGAGGCTCGCGCATAAAAAGCGTCCATATCCCGCGAATTACCGGCAGTCATTGCGACACACGGGCGACTCTCGTCATCGTGATATGCGGGGCGCCGCGTCGCGCGTCGTCCTCGTCGCCGTCGTCGTCCTAGCCGCGGACAACGAGCACTAAACGTCGCGCAGACTCGTGTGGCTTTCCCGACCATCGCCGTACAAAGGATGCCGGTGAAGGTCGACGTGATACCACCGCCGCCCGCGAACTCGAAACAGCCCGGTGTCACCAAGTCCCTGTTATACAACGGCTCGCGCTTTCAGGGTTCGCAAAAGTCCAAGGGCAACAGTTACGATGTAGAGGTGGTTTTGCAGGTTAGCCTCCTCCCCCTATCTCCCCCCCCCCGCGCCCTCCTCCACCACTTCCCCCTTGTCGCCGCTTTTCGGAAATTGCGCCATAAATTTGGGGAAGGCTATATACCACTTTTAGAGGCACTTTTATCGATAAAAGAGAATTCAGAATATGAGCCAATGTCTACGCAATCCTAAAAGATAATCTTGAAAAAAATCATCAAGAATTTGTCTTACTACTACAATTCTAAAGGCAAAAACTACATTCACTATTTTCGAAATACCTACATCCTTCAAACCTTGGTTTAAAGTTATTAAATCCGACGGAAAATAATCACTATCTCCAGAATCGGATCCAATCATCATCATCTCAATTCCAGCCTATATCGCTGCAATCTAGTACAAGCTCCTGTATGTGACTGTGGATATCCTAATCAAGATATAAACCACATCTGGAACGGTCCCATACTTTCCTTTCGTCGATCCGCTCTACATTCAGCACTGCGGAACAATAACTGCAACGCAATCCTTACCAATGATATATTTGAATTGCTTAAGAATCCTACTCTCAAAAGCATCTTGCCCATTCTCTCTTTTCTTAAAAAAAATAATTTGACAATCTAAGAATTAACCCAGCTAATACAAACATGACTTTATGTCAACAATGTGAAAGAAGAAGAAGAGAGAGAATGGCTTTACCTGTGTAAATTGATGTAAGAGTCGCATAGATTCAGGACTTGTCCAATATGAGTTGTTGACAGTTTGTCACCCGGGGCAGGGGTTGGTTATTGATCCATCAGATCGATTGGAGCATTCGCTCATGTTGCTCTTGATGTTGCAGCACGTGGACGAAGAGAACAGTTATCTGTGCGGATACTTGAAGATCAAGGGCTTGACCGAGGAATTTCCGACGTTGACGACGTTCTTCGACGGCGAGATCATTTCCAAAAAATACCCGTTCCTGACTCGCAAGTGGGACGCCGACGAGGATGTTGACAAGAAACACTGGGTCTGTACTTATATAATTGGGCCTCATATATTTTTCTAATCTCTATCTTTCTCTGGAAGGCTTTTGGAAGACCATTGTTATTCTTGGATTATCATCGACTTGTACTCATCTTGTTTATTTTGGTTGCAGAGTAAGTTTGAGTCATTCTGTCAATACGCCAAGACGTTCAATTCCGACACGTTTGATTACGAGGCACTGAAGGGAACAGATTTTGTATTTATGAGGTGGAAGGAACACTTTCTAGTACCCGATCACACGATCAAAGATATTAACGGTGCCTCCTTTGCGGGATTCTACTACATTTGCTTCCAGAAATCCGCCGCCACAATTGAGGGCTTTTATTATCATCGTAGCTCCGAATGGTAAAACAATATGCAAGTCTGTATCTATTATAGATTAAAAACTGGATAACACTGAAAGCTTAATCGGTAATAATATTTGATCTTTTTCATATGCGAAACGTATTTAGAAAAAATATATTACGTGTGTGTACGACCAATGAAATATATAATTAAAGATAATTTTATGTCATGTTGTAGGTATCAGTCCTTGAATTTAAGACACGTTCCGGAGCACAGTATACAAATCTATGAATTCAGGTGAAGTCCATACTTTTGTTGAGAAATCTCACAAAAGACATTCGTGTCTTTTTCTTCTAGCACGCAGATCTCATAAAATTTTGCCCGATCAATTTATTAATACATGTTTTAATAAATTGGTTTATTAATTATGACATTCTTCGGTCTTGGAGATTTGTAAAAAAAGAATTTAGAATTTGATAATATTTTTCTTAGCCAATGATGCTAAGAATTATAAAGACGAGGATTATGGAGCGCCTATTTTGTGGTTGAGCGATATGATTGATTACAAATGACAATTACCTTGATATTGTAAAATAATCTTTTGTAGAAATAAATAATCTGAAATGCATATCATTTTAAATTTTGTTTATTTTCTAGTATTGGGATGAAAAGATTTTAGAGAATTTGTTTATCGTCATTGTGCATAATTTAAATACATTAAATATTCTGTTTTTAAGGATATACATGTATCTTTTATGTGTAAAGTGAAGAAGATAAACTTAACATTTTGATAAGAATGATAAAAGAGTACGAGGATAAAATTGTATAAATTATTTTTATTTTATCTTACTTTGGAATTTATGAGATCTGTCTGTTAAATTATAGAAGATCAGGTGTACTTGTCTGAATGAAGCTGTACGTATGTCGTAAAAACGAAGGAAACAATAATCACAAAAACTATATCGAGATTTGAACTGTATTTTATGTATCGAAAACGTGTGTATTTATGTTATTTTACATAAATGATCTTTATCTAATTTATATTTTATTTTACATATAAAAATTATATATATAATATATATATATATATATATATATATATATATATATATATAATATATAATATATATGTATACCTGATTTTTTAAGAATAGTTATTAGGCACACACATATTGGCTGTTTATAAAACTTGTCATCATGTTTTAATTAAGTGTTAATTAAATATATCAAATTCTTAGGAAAATAGTACTCTATTGTGATAAGCACATTATCGTAATATAACATATATATATACGAATGTGTATAAATTTATATATATATATATATATATATATATATATATATATATATATATAGATTGTAATGGCTAATGCGTAATTTAGTCCAGATTTATATTGGCATACTACAGCTTTCATTTGCATTTACGAAATTATTTTCAATCACCAGTGAAACGGCACATGTTATGTTCTATATTATATTTCGATATTTTGTTTATTAGCATTGTTAAGTACTAATAATTTTGCCTTTATATATATATATATATATATATATATATATATATATATATATATATATACACACATACTTGTGCTAAATCTATTCAAATACTCAGAAACTAATAAAGCAGTAAAAATGCATGTTTATTTTGATAAACTAAATCAACAAACTCGCGTAATCAACAGTCACAAATCGGATGTTGGAAAACGTAAGGCGTACGTAAGATATGTAATTTAATATATCAGATACTTTCTACATACACTCTCCCTTCCTATTATTGTTAATTATGTTAAGGCGATCTTTATTATAAAATAATTGACTGTTATTACATTTTTATTTGTGAACTGTACATTGTTGTTTCTTTAAGGATATCTTTATGTTAGTTATTGGTAGCAATTAACATGCTTGGCAAAATATCATATTTTAATCTATAGCGTCTATAGTTGCGTCTTTTAGATGTATTTTTTTCTTTGCGAACTCTACGAAACTCGATAATTTCGAGCGCTAAATGAATTTAACTTTAGACCTTGTTCAGACTTGTTATTACAATACGAAATATTATATTGATCTACTCTAACTCTATTTCCTCTACAATTATTTAGCAAGAGATTGTTCAAGTGTGTTTTATATGACATACATATGTTCATAAATATTCAATTTATTTTCATTGTACAACTATATATGTTTTAAACGGAAACATTATAGTAATATAATTGAATGTAAATCGAACAGATTACAATTTAGTTTGATGCTGCAGTTTGAATGCGATTGTAGTTGGAATATATCGATTGATGAAAATTACAATGCTCAGAAAATTAATAAGAGGATGTTACAATATGTTGTGAGAAAGACAAGTTTGCCAATCTTATTTGATAGAATAAGAAAATATTGATTATAAATTATTAAAATAGTTAACTTCTTAGTGTTAATTAAATTAATCAACACTAATAATTAAGATTAGAAATGTGTTTATTATATATAAACATAGTAAAAAGTATATAGAGAGAATAGACTCTCATTTCTTCCAACAAAATTAGCGTTTTATTTTTAAACACGAAGCATTTTGGCAAACGGGACGGCATTTTCTACTCTTCCTTTACTCAAATATGTATTGCATGTGTGGCCCCTTTTCAATTTATTTTTCATACACATATATCCATTATTTTGTTCTCTTTTGAAATATGTATACATATACTTTGTGTCATAAGAGAATAAAATATATAATTAATTTGAAGCATCTTTATCAAGGAAGAGTTGGTTTTAAAGTAGGAAATTTTTAAAATTTTTACATACTGATTACATGCATTGCATAATATGTATAATGACAAGTTAAGTTTATTCAATTACATTTCACAGACAAGTAAGCACATTGTGTGTTATGTTCATATAAAACAATATTATAATAGTTCTTTATTTTTATATATATATATATATATATATATATATATATATAAAATATATATAATATATACACATAATATAATTTAGTTAAATCTAACGTAATATATAAATACATCTCATATGCTTTCCTGGCATCGAGTAATTTGTTACAGATATATATCGTCAGAGATCGAGTGTGTTCTATCTATCTATACAATACACACAAACGCATCTCCTGCAATTTTATTCTGTACAAATAAACTTACATTTAGGTGAAATTAAATAAGACAAATACTTTTAAATAACATACTTCAGGGACGTTTTGTGGGGGAAGAACACTACTTTGCGCATTTTACAATTTACATGAGAGAAATAAAACACTGAGGAAATTATCCGATATAATGTAAAAACTCGTGCCGTAGAAAGAGCTAATTTTATTGCTCTCTGTAAAACCGTCTCCTTAAAAAATATATGCTCTTCTACGGTCGGTGATTGGTAGATTCTGATAAAAAGATTTTCGCGAAGATACAAGCAAGTAAAAATATATACATATATTTTATCATATATATATATATATTGCCAATATATCTCGAGTTAGCTGCTCTAAACTTTCTATGCTTACACTATCATCATTAGTCTACACCACAACCACTGTAGACTTAGCAAACTTGTACTTTTTTTTCAATTCATTACTCGCCCGTTTTTGTAAGCTTATAATCAAAGAATGTTTCGCACAGAGAGATACGTTTGTGAGGAAGAAGGTGGGGGTTATTTTTCCAACAACGGCCAAAAAAAACAAAGCGACTTACATAGATTTAAAAATATAGGCACACATTCGCACGAGTCGCATAATGTATACCGGCTGATATATTGTGTATTATTTTTTTTTTTTACTTTGTAATCTCCTAACGCGTTCCCTTTCACGACAGGAAAATACGAGCTCTGATCGATGTAACATCGTGTAATATGATGCACTTAATAATAACATTTAAGGATTTCTTTCCTTACTTGTATAATGTTTCTTTCTTTTCTTATCTCGCGAATGGCACATGACAGTTTGCCTCTCTTAAGCTCGTCAACTGCTCATCATAATTTGTGCACGTGAATAATTTGTTTGCAAATGTGAAAATATATATATGAAACATGTGTCTTCCATAATAAACGCAACAAGAGTATCCGTCCAACATTGGCAAGTGACAAATTGGAGAATTGCATTTATACTTATACTGTCTCTTGTAGTAATCTAACAGTAATCGCTATCGATTATGAAATAATCGCAAGACGCGCGTTTGTATTCTTGATAAAACGGGGGAGCGAAGGAAGAAGGCTCGAGTGCGCCGAGTTTCTGTCATTTTGTAAGTAACCGCTCTACCCTGATTTCGTCCCTCTGTCATTCTCAAGACACTGTGCAGGAATTACGACCGACGCAACTTGTACGGGAATCAGTGATGCTGCCGGGCGAACTTCCGGGCGTCGACAATCCGTTATGACCTACTCCGACGAAGCGCAGCTTCCGATGATGCGATCCCAGACTCTTGCTGGAACTTGATGAACGGCCGTTATAGCGTAACTGGGTCGTAGTTGTCATGGCGTACGATTTCAAGTGCGACTTGATCGACTTGGGCAACGGCAGTTGGTCGATACCATAAACCGTCGTTCGGGCCACTATCGCGCGACATGCCAATTCTTGCAGGCTGAGCACTGTAAAGATACAAGTTTATCTCTTTGTGTAAAATGTATCTTATCGATTGAAGGGATTTTGAGTAGATCGCTATACAGGGTGTCTCAATGGTCTGTACAAACTTTGTGAATAAGTTCCAGGAATCTAAACAAGCAGAAAATGTCCCATAAATGGGGTCGGAAACGCTTGCTTCTGGAGTTACGACGGTTCGAAGTTTTCCTGCAATAACTGGAGAAATTATCACGTCAAATCGCATAGGTGTTACAAGACTATGTTTATTTATTTCGTCGATTTTGCCACATAACAGGACAGTACACTTGCTAAAGAAATGACTTCTTTAACCAAATAGCGTAAAACATGTAAATAAACCAGCTTGAACTTCAAACAGCGTAGCTCAGCAGAGGGCATTTCGAGCATTTGCTATAGCAAGTGTGCTGTCCTGTTATGTCTGTGGCAAAATCGAAGAAATAAACACAGTTTTGTAACACCTATGCGATTTAAAGTGACAATTTCAGGAAATTATAATTTAAGAGTAATTTCTGTTGCAGGAAAACTTCGAACCGTCGTAATTCCAGAAGCAAGCGTTTCCGACCCCATGTTTATGGGACATTTTCTGCTTGTTTAGTTTCCTAGAACTTATTCACAAAGTTTGTACAGATCATTCAGGGATACTCTTTATAAGATACCTTTATTGGATCGCCATAATCTTTCCATGCCGTTCCTATGCAGCGCCATGCGGGAGAGTTCTGAAAAGCTCTCGCGAATATTGAAGTCGCAGAGAGGCGAGACCTCGAAAAACGCCATTCGATTTTTAGCCGCATAAGTCTCTGCATCTCGTTCCCCTACTTGTCTCTTGAAAGCCAAGTGCAGACGATTGCCAACCAATACTTTTGGTACACCGGGTGCATGCTATAAAATTTTAAGTCGATCAAGATACATCTTGCCCAATTCCTGCTGTATACAGGGTGAGCCATTTTAAGTTATCCCCCCTCCCCCCAAATAACTTTTTTATTTTTGAATGTACAAGAAAAAATATGTAATTGTTAATTGCAAATTACATATTTTTTTTTCGAAACAACTATGTGTTTTCTTTACACTAATTGATTCCTCTCATTATTTTGTACATAAAAGTATTAAGGTGAAGTAATCAAAAAATGAATATTTTACAAGATATTTTATGGTTTATGTAAAATTAAGAAATTATTTCAAGCCTCATAATTCGAAAAGTAGAAGTTGAGAGTACTCAATGAAGAAATATTTTATTATAGTGTTTTGAAAAGCTCTCGAGATAAACTACAAGAATATGCAATGAAAAATAGTAGGTTCCGTTTAAGAAATTAAAGATGACCTTAATGTGATTTTCGAAAATGACTATCCAAGATCAAATTTTTGCCACCATCTTCTGTCCATCTCGGAGTCAAGCAACTTTTATTTGAAACATTTTGTTGTACATTCAAAAATAAAAAAGTTATTGAAGTGGATAACTTAAACTCACCTTGTATAATAATAGAGTGATTGGAAAGTTATGGATTTTGTCATTTACCTCTTCTACTTCTTTTAACCACCTATCGATGCCATCAAAGGACCATTTGTTAGTGATATCATATACCAGGAGTATACCTTGAGCACCTCTAGAATAAGACCGAATGATTGTGCAGAATCTACCTTGGCCTGATGTGTCCCATAGCTGTAGCTTTACTCGTTTCCCATCCAGTAGAATAGTGGTAGTTTTGTAAGCTGGAGGAATGATAAACAAGCTTGAAATATAATTAAATCTCACACAAGTAGAAATTCTCAAGGGAGAAATATCCGCAGAAGATCACAGTTACTTCCTCTCTCGATTCAAGTAATCAACACAATTTGTCAAATTACACGTATCCAACTGTCACTCACGGATTCTAATGACACTTTGTACATTTGTAAAACTATGCAAAATAATAGACATATTTTTTTTTATCCGCGGAGAAGCAATTTTGAGGGCAGAAACAACTGCCTCATCTATCGTAATGAAACTTTCAACTTGGCCTTATAACTTGGAAAATATTTGACGTACAGTAACATTATTATAGTGTTTTGGATAGCTCTCGAGATAAGCTACAAGAATATGCAATAAAAAGTAGGTGGTTCCGTTAAAAAAAAATGGCCCACCCGGTACAAGGGGTTGTTTCTGCCCTTAAAATCGCTTCTCCGCAAATAAAAAAAAAATACGTGTCTATTATTTTGTATAGTTTTACAAGTGTACAAAGTTTCATTAGAATCCGTGAGTGACAGTTGAGTACCCTTCCTTGTCAGAAGGGTCGTGTCAAGTCGAGATGCGACTCCACGAGTGTTATCCCAAGAGCAAAGGGAGGAACAACGTACCGCTGCCACTGCAGAACGGCGACTCCGCGGCGCCGTCCTCGAGGCCGCTCAGGATCTCCTGTTTGCCGACGTCGCTGTCGCCCACCAGAAGAAACTTGAGCAGGTAGTCGTATTGTTTCTCTTGACGAGGCTTCGCCGTGCTGGCCTCACCTGCAGCCATAATATCCGCCTGTCGCACACCCTGAGCATACTGCAGGTGACTCACGGAGGATCGGAATCCACCAGCTTGACGCCGACCACCTGGACGATGACCGCGGGAATACCTCGGCGAAAGCTATCGCATCGTATCGCGGCTCGCAGGATTGTCGCGTGGACTCTCTCATCTAGGATCCCGGTCTCGGAAGGATCGAGATCGCGCTTCACGTCCGTCCGTCTGCCCTCTCCCTTTCGTTGGCGATACAGACACTTTATACGCCGCCGATTGCGACACGAATCATAACAAAACAAAACGGCGGCCACACACTTTCTCCGCTGTTTTCGCGCTTATCCCTGCCACCGCTGCTCTCTCTCTCTCTCTCTCTCACCCCTGACGATGCACGATATCTCGCGTCGCAAGGTGCGCGAAGTCTCTGAAGGTCGGAGCTGTTCGAAATCGCGTCGCGCGATTCCTTAGGGTCTCCGCACAAGGTGTTCCGTATCGCATTACGTTACGTTAAGCCAAGGGTGCGTTCCATTTCACGCATTGAACACATTATCGCATTAACTAACATTCCGTTTCCTTCAATGCGATTTCCATGCGCACATCAAAAAGCAATATGACGAAGCGATATGATAAAGCCATATTTTTTCCGCATTAACTTCACATCATAGGTTTGTTTTTTATTCCTGCACTGGCTGCACTAGTTCAAAAAGTGTACACTAAAGCGTTCGTTATTCCAGAACTGGTGTAACCGATACCGTTCGTTATTCCAGTGCAGGAAAACTTAGTGCACGAGTTCACTGAACTGGCTGCACTAGGTCCGGAGTAAAGAGTCCGGAGGTAGTACAAGCAGTGTAGAGCAACCAAGGAGGTGTTTTTTATTCCTGTACTGAATATAGCCGGCAATTTCAAAATTTAAAGGTTAATGTAAGTATAAAAGTAGAAGTTTTTTTGGATCAAAAAAATTTTACAAAATTTATATTTCAATATATATATATATATATATATATATATATATATATTGAATATATATATATATATATATATATATATATATATAATGTTCACAATTTATACAGGGTGTCCCATTTTAATGCCCCACCCCAAATAACTTTCTTATTTTTAATTTTAGAAAAAGATGTTTCAGACAAAAGTTGTATGGTTTCAAGGGGGACATAAGGTGGTGTCATTAGTTTGACCTTGAAGAGTCACATGAAGATTACGTGAAGGTCATTTTGAATTTCTTAAATGGAACACCCTATATATTTTTGCATATTCTTGTAGCTTATCTCGAGAGCTTTCCAAAACACTATAAATAAACATTTTTTCATCAAGTACTTTTCGAGTTATGAGGCTTGAAATCATTTCTTAATTTTACATAAACCATAAAATATCTTGTAAAATATTCATTTTTCGATTATCTTACCTTCATACTTTTATGTACAAAATAATGAGAGGAATCAATTGGTGTAAAGAAAACATACAGTTGTTTTTAAGAAAAAATATGAAATTGTTAATTGCAAATTACATATTTTTTCTTAAAAACAACTGTATGTTTTCTTTACACCAATTGATTCCTCTCATTATTTTGTACATAAAAGTATTAAGGTAAAATAATCGAAAAATGAATATTTTACAAGATATTTTACGATTTATGTAAAATTAAAAAATTATTGCAAGCCTCATAACTCGAAAAGTACTTGATGAAAAAATGTTTATTTATAGTGTTTTGGAAAGCTCTCGAGATAAGCTACAAGAATATGCAAAAATATATAGGGTGTTCCATTTAAGAAATTCAAAATAACCTTCACGTAATCTTCATGTGACTCTTCAAGGTCAAACTAATGACACCACCTTATGTCCCCCTTGAAACCATACAACTTTTGTCTGAAACATCTTTTTCTAAAATTAAAAATAAGAAAGTTATTTGGGGTGGGGCATTAAAATGGGACACCCTGTATAGTAAAAATCGTTACCAGTTGAGTAAAATATAAAATTTGTAAGGTTAGAAAATCTTAATCTGTGAAATCTAATAGTAATTTTAATAATTTTATTCTAATAGTAATTTTAATAATTTTATTTGAAACATATGTATATATAATATTTACAGTAAAAAACAATATGGCAAATACAGAAACAGCAAGAATAAAAAAAGATGCCATAGGAAATATTTTAGTGGATCAAACTGGACACGTAACATGCATTTCTGAAGGTATTAGAATTATCTAATATTTATTAAAGCAGACACAGTAAATATTTGATAAAATTATGTTATTAATGTGACGCGCCATATTTTTGCACTGCTTTACACTAGTTTACACTGTATCGTTTTCTACTCCCGTCTGCACTCTCAGTTCTCGCTTGCACTGGCAGTTCTAGTGCAGAACTAGTTCAGTTCAGTGTAGGAATAAAAAACAAACCTCATGTGCCTCTATCCCAGAGTAGAAGCAGTTAATGCAGAGGTTTGTTTTTTATTCCTATACTGAACTGAACTAGTTCTGCACTAGAACCACAGTATATACAATAGCGCAACTATCCCGATTTTGTGTAGCATAAAATGAAATGCGCATGCGTAAAGTCAGCGAGTATACCAGTACTGCCATCTGCACTTCCCTCTCACTCTCTCCTTCGTTCTCTTTCTAACACATTATAATATGTAATATAAATTAAATTCAATAAAACTTGAATATATGTACATAAAGAAATCGTGAAAAATATAATATAAAATATATAATGCAAACATATATAAAAAATAATATATATGACATGATGTGAATATTAATTAACCATTTTATATGTCACATATAACTGATAGCAGAAAAGAATGAAAAGATATATACTCATAATACTCATATATAATTTATAATATATTTACATATTAATACTTATATATATAATTTTTAATATATTTATATATTAATTGTACATACATATATTCTATATATATATATATTTTTTTTTCTATATATATATTTTTTCAAAAACTTAAAATTAAAAAAAAAACATTTAGATTAAGACTACAATCACTTAAAATTTATTATATAAAATATATATATTTATGATCAAAATGAAGAAAGAAACAAGAAATATATATTTGTTAATAATATATATTATTAACAAATATATACATATATTTCTAAATGTTTTTTTTCATTTTAAGTTTTTAAATATATATATAGAATATATGTATGTACAATTAATATATAAATATATTAAAAATTATATATGTAAGTATTAATATGTAAATATATTATAAATTATATGAGTATTATGAGTATATATCTTTTCATTCTTTTCTATCAGTTATATATGATATATAAAATGGTTAATTAATATTCACATCATGTCATATATACTATTTTTTATATATATTTGCATTATATATTTTGTATTATATTTTTCACAATTTTTTTATATATATATGTTCAAGTTTTATTGAATTTAATTTATATTATATATTATAATGTGTTAGAAAGAGAACGAAAACCAAAGGAGAGAGTGAGAGGAAAGTACAGATGGCAGTACTGGTATACTCGCTGACTTCACGCATGCGTATTTCATTTTATGCTACACAAACTTCAAAGGTGCCGACAGGGAGTTGCGCTACTGTATATACTGTGCTAGAACTGAGCCAGTGCAAGCAAGAACTGAGAGTGCAGACGGGAGTAGAAAACGATACAATGTAAACTAGTGTAAAGCAGTGCAAAAATATGGTACGTAACACAATACATAATGTTATACATAATATGTTATAAATTATACATACATATATTTCAAATAAAATTATTAAAATTACTATTATTAGATTTCACAGATTAAGATTTTCTAACCTTACAAATTTTATATTTTACTCAACAGTAACTGGTAACGATTTTTACTATATAAATAGTGCGTTCGAAAATATGTTTGGTTGGTGTTGGGAAAAAAGATAAAGTTGGCAGTATTGAAAACTCCCAGTGCTGCGTTTCGTTTCTCCCACTGGGATTACTAGGATTTAAAAAATTTGCTACTTGAAATATTAAAAGAGGTTAATAAGTAGTTAAATATATTTTATAATAATATGTTTAATAACATCACATATATTATTATTAATACGAACGTGTGTTTTATATTAATAATGTTATAATTATAATAAAGTAATTTACCTAAAATGTGATTTAAATTCAATATTTGTATATCTGCTAACAACATTTTACAAATAATCTGTTATTTTTAGTACTATTTTCCTTTCACCTCTATTGTTATTACCTCTATTTTCGAATAAAATATTTTGTAATTCTTCATTATTATCATCACTATCTGAAGAACTACTCGAAGATTCAAAAATGATGTTTTCGAGTAAAATATATTGTTCCATAATAATTATTAGTGTAATTATTAGTGCAACACATTCATATATTGTATGTATACTGCGCGACAACGATTCGTTCCGTGGCCCCTTTCTCGCGGGGCAAGGGGAGCGTAGAAGTGACCAATCAGCTGGCAGCGTGGCAGTGACTGATTGGTTAGAGGCTACGCTCCCCTTGCCCCGCGAGAGGGACCACGGAACGAATCGTTGTCGCGAAGTGTACATACAATCATATTCATATATTGTATGTAGGTACAATACAATCCTAATGATCCCAGTGGAAGAAACGAAACGCAGCACTGGGAGTTTTCAATACTGCCAACTTTATCTTTTTCTCCAACACCAACAAAACATATTTTCGAACGCATTATAATTGTGAATATTATATATACATATATATATATATATATATATATATATATATATAAAAGTATAAAAGTAGAAGTTTTTTTAGATCAAAAAAATTTTACAAAATTTATATTTGAATATATATATATATATATATATATTCAAATATAAATTTTGTAAAATTTTTTTGATCTAAAAAAATTTCTACTTTTATACTTACATTAACCTTTAAGTTTTGAAATTGCCGGGTATATTCAGTGCAGGAATAAAAAATACCTCCTTGGCTGCTCTACACTGCTTGCACTACCACCGGACCTAATGCAGCCAGTGAACTCGTGCACTAAGTTTTTCTGCACTGGAATAACGAACGGTATCGGTTACACCAGTTCTGGAATAACGAATGCTTTAGTGTACACTTTTTGAACTAGTGCAGCCAGTGCAAGAATAAAAAACAAACCTCAGAGTTAATGCGCTGGCATTATTCGCGCATTATCATGCAGTGCTAATATCGCGCATTGCAAAACGGAACAACTTCAATGCGATATACAATGACGTCATTCCTGCGCATTCAGAATGCGCTAAATGCGAGAAACGGAACGCATCCCAGATCTACACTCCGCGACAACGATTCGTCCCTCTCGCGGGGCAAG